ATTCCCTTACGGATATCAAAGGGCCTTCAGGCATGTATTTTACTTTAGGTATATTTGTTTCTTAGGTACAGAACATCTTTAGATACAAATTCAAGAAAGGAGACAGGAACGTCTCACCTGTGCCTTTCGTTTGCAGTCGGCCACACACTGATCAATTTTGCCTGTCCTGGTGATCCTGATCGTTTAGTAACAGAGGGCTGAACCTACAGCCATAGTCCATCTCAGTAGTTCTTTGGACTCTCCCCCACTTCTTGTGGTCTGTGCCTGTCTTTGATGAGGTTGTACACCGACAGGACCAGTGGTGCACAAATACGCAATAGCTGCAGGGAGCTACTGTGTTTAATTCTGCAAAGCGGCGACACTCTGTCCATTTCTGTCTGCTGTACAGCTCCAGGGTGAACAGGCAGCTTGCTGGACAACCCAGGTATCATTTACACAGTAACCATCCATCTCTGGCTCCTTCAGTTTTCTGCAAAAATGAGCAGCAACTTCCCTTGAAAATCACACCAACTGACTTCCTATCCAAGTTCCCAACAAACACAACCTCTCCCTCTGCAGCAAGGATACTGGACGCATGGTGAACTTCCAGTTCCAGAACTTCCAGTTGTTGACATTCCAAAAAGAAAAGCAGTCCACCATTTGAGGGAGAGCTCAGAGGAATTTCAATGCAATAAAGTGTCCAGAGGTTGAAGGATTTTGGTCTTGTAGGTGATGTACAGAATTCATTAGACACCATATCCAAATTCAAATCAGAACCCATTTTATCCTTGCTACACTCTGACCATCTTCAGAAGCAGCCCACTGGTCTCCTGATGCTTATTGCATATTAATAAAGCAGGAGGAGATCTGCTTCCTCCCAATGATCAGAGCGTCTGTCAAGATAGTAGAAATCACCCAGGATGGTGCCGTCTGGACAGGGATAATGAAATACAATAATCTGCATTTGAAAGACCCCCCTCATACACACACAGACAAACACTGTAGCTTTGCCTTGTCTGAGCAGCAACATGACACACAAAATCTGCACTGTGATTGGCCGCTTGGTGGGATGACCTCATTCCTCAGTGAGCTAGACTGGCAGGGCAACACAGCACTTCCACATACACTGCATGATCCCACTGGGAACCTTCCATTACACGCACTGAGCCTCACGGGCACGGCTGTGACTTTTCAAACCGCACACCCCCCCCCACTCTCCACCCCAACGTTCTTTACAGAAAGTGCACTTGACTTGCTCTGCGCCAAACCAGTTCATCTGTATCCTCCTTTATACACACATCCTTGTTTTTTCAAGAACAAAAGGGATCTTTCCGACGGACTGATTAAACTGAAAACGAGGATGTGGGCCAGTATGTATCGCCTGCATTTCAGAACCATAAAACAGACACAAAGGCCATCTTGTTCGGGCAGAAGGGTGGGTATATGGAATGTTGTTCGACTGTGCACAATAACATCACCTACTGATTCCCTACTGAAAAAAGTATTTTCTTTTCCAAATTCAACAATATGTAGGCTACATGTCTTATTCTGAAAAACAATTGAGTTACTCCATGTTAAAGGGGTCGTCTAATTTCCCTTGTGGAGTGAAATTTCTACACTTAACAGGAAGAATGCAAAAAACAAAAAGTTTCCTCAGCTATACACACCCTGACATTTCAGATGATGTTAGTCTTTGTGGTAACCAAGGGAACGGGCGCTTTCACATTGTTATACCTGCACATGAGGAGCCACTGGGAGCGATGAAAGTCACTGCCTGATTATCGCCCCCCTAAGGAGCTGGGCAGAGAGCTCAGGATACACAGCACCATTACCGGTTATCGGCACGTAAAATCACCACGCACTGTGATATAGTTCATGAATGAACTGCACATTATCTAAATCGCTCCGGGAAAAGCAGCCATCAAGGAATTTTAACGATGCATTATAAAATGCAAGTTAATACAATCACAAGCCTGTAAATGAATGACTTTCCAAAAGCCGGACGTAAGAGAGATTCTTTGTGAAGCAAGCCATTTAACGCAGCATGAGATGCCTGTGTCCCATCACGTCAAGCCCATCGTGGCAGCAAATACCCAGGCTCCTGCGGGTTTAACACAGTGATTAACCCATAAGCCCCAGGAAGATGAAATCCCCCAAAAGCATTACAGCCGCCTCACAGCACGACACAGGCAAATGCACTCTCACCCAGGATTCCCACCCTGGGCAGGCGCAATGTACGGAGCAACCACAGCAATTTACTCAGAGGATGTGACGTTTGAAAGTAGTTGACCACTTCTGGTTATGCACGAGGTAGAACATATAAGCAGGGCTCTCTGTCTGCTTCATCCTGAGCAAAGAGCCGGAGACGCTGCCCGTGAATGCTGTACGGCAACAAATCCTGCTAATGACAACGCTGTTTATAACAAAACGCCTGCTTAAATGTGTAAGAAGGCGCAGTACTTTAAACACCACTTATAAAATGAGTTACCCTCACTGAGCATCACGCCTACAAAATGTTGACAAAGCTACACTAAAGGAGAAAGGGAGGGAAAAACAGCCAGAAGTGGCTCCCACACAAATAAATATCTGATCTTTCATTTCCCCATGGGGATCAATGAAGTATCTATTATTATTATTATTATTATTATTATTATTATTATTATTGTTACTATTATTACATGTGAGTCTGAACCCTCATTTGTAAAAGAACCTAAAGAGCAACAATTTAGCTTCTGCAAGCTAAAGAAACATATTAAACACATCCAGTCCCAAAGCAAAATAACCCAAGAAAAAGAAGGAAGCACAGAGACCAGCGCAGCTACCATAAGAAGTGTGTTACCAGCCAGGAGCCGTGGCTGCGGAAGATCAGCCTGTGGCCTGCAGATCATCGACGTCTCACTTGCCAGCACGTGAATTCCCATTAGATGTTCCACAGAGTGTGATGGGGGGGAGAAAATCGCATCCTGCACATTTTCTCAGACTCTTAACCATAGTGGCACAAACAATTATAGCAGAATCCCGGCTGGTACATAGACAAAACTATTAGTACTGCTGCAACAACTGTAAAGACTTTCATGGTCAAACTTGTTATTAACTAAATGCAATTTAACAATCTTTTATGAGATCATTACCACAGATGTCACTACAGTCCAATCACCATTTCATAGTAAATGCAAGTATACTAAAACAGATATTTAACTGCTGAACGACAACAGTCAACAGAATTGAAAATACATATTTTCCAACAGCAAAGAAAAGTTACTAAGTCAGAAAAAAATACTGAAGGTACAACTAGTCACTGACAAGGCTGCGAAAAGTTTTGAAACACAAAAATATGCCCTCAGACTCGCCCTAAGTAAAGGGCCGTGGCACAATCAAGTAAATAGCGTCCCCTGCTGGATGTACCGTCACTTTTTTCCAACTGTCTGGTTTTAATTTTTTTCTTTTATAATTATTGGTTACAGGTTGAAGGAGCAACATTTCAAAACAGCATGACTCACTTTTGAGGGAAGCACTGGAAAATATGACGGACAACCCACTTGCATAACACAATATCACTCACAGGAGTCTGATTAATCTGCTTTTCTTTCAGCCTAACGCTGAATTGTGAAAAAATAGTCATATTTATATGCAATTGATTTTTGAAGAACTCGTTCAAAGAATAAAGACCATAAAACAGCTTCAAATTTTAGCGAGAAAATAGTTACCAGCTAAATATTTAGTCAATGTTTATGCTGGAATAAGCAAAATATTATTCTGTGACAAGTTAAAGTTGCACCTGCAACTGAGTTAAGAGTTTCCAAATTTAAACCAAAAACGTACAGATCAATTACAGGAGGCTAATAAGGAATATTGGCGAATAGGTAAGAATGTCTATACAAGAAGCCGAGTTATCACAAACCGGTAATTCATACGGTAATTAATCCCAGTTTCAGGATATTTACACTTGCCATTACTTGCCCATTTGCGGCACGTTTTTCCGCTTCCCCCGCCTTTGCCACAGGCTGCTCTCCAAAAGCTGTCATTTACGGTTCTGTGATTTAATGCCAAACTGAGAAAAGTCAATGCTGCTCACCGGGAGCTAAATACGGTGAGAGATTAAAAAAACCCACCACCTACGTAAAAAACTATTATAACAGCTTTCGTCTCCACCTGATAATACGTTACATTTGCGGTTTGTCAGTTTTTAGAATGAGCCAAGATAATTAAGCGTCGTATCCGTGACCCAATACGCGGGTTCCGCGCCTAAAGGCAGTCGGCTGGGAAGCTCGGGGAGCGTCACACACACCATGGGACCGCGGTCATCTTTGAGGTTCATTTGTCACCCTCCTATCCCAGATAACCAGTGTTTTTGTTCTTCGATTATAGCATCTAGCAGGGTTGCGGTATTTTTTCCTTGTCTACAATTTTTTTTTATCACTGATAAGTGCTGCCCATGTAATATACTACAGTTGGAGGCTATTTTCGGATACCCGTTGGCTGGGTCGCCTGAAGCTTCGCGTCATCCTCTTTGTTAACATCCTCTGTCAGTTGAGTTTCTCACACCAGCAATTTACAGGAATATACTTTATAACAATACCATCATATTAATTCAGTGAAGGGGGAAACAAGTTAACGCTCAACAAGATGCTTTATAATGTACTGTGCACTGGGGCGCAATCAAATTTCTTAAAATTTGTTGTACATGAGTTGGGGGAAAGTAGCCTTCAACATTAAATGTTTTATCAATGTAATCGGTCTGCAATTAGTGGTAACAAGAGTCGTCTTAGAAGACAAAACGATTAATTTCTGCCAAACTCATGTTGCAAATGTAAGAGCGATCAGCAAACAATCTGCCATTTTAGCAATTGTAACAGTAACCAGTCACAGTATAGTACACAAATCATGTCCGATCGTGCAACGTCTAGCTAAATAGCGATCACCACAATTGTGTACATAAATGTGTACATAACCAACAATTAAGACCCTCGCTGAGTATGACGACACGTGATTTACAACCAGTGTCAACTTGCAGAACTTACCTTTTTCCCGAATGATCTCCACGCACTTTTCTGGACGTACAGGTTCCTCCCGGCTGACCAGGCGATTCCGGGTGTTTAGGGACAACGTGTGAGCAGCGTGAAGCTGCACATGTCAGCAAAAGCGCCCTTTCTGCACTTGAAACTTTCTGGCACTAACCGCCTTCATCGTGAAGAGAGGCAGTCGGTCAGCTGTCTGCACTATCGCTTACTGACGTTTTTCTAAGCGGGCGGGAGTGCGGGGGGGGGGGGGGGGGGCAGGAATTTCTGAAGCGAAACCCCAGGGCTGATCCGGCTGCAACGCGACGGGAAATTCCGGGCGAAGCGCACAGGCGAGGCTCAGCCGAAAGCAGCCCAAAAGAGGCGACGCCAATTCCCAGCCAGGCCTCCACGCCGCTGTCACCGTCAAATCACTACTTGTACATTTACAGTTATATGACAGGTGGTTTTTATTTTTCACTAAGCATTTATTTACAGGCTGCACAAGGCGAAAAGCATTCGTAAACACACAAGAACGTTTGTACGCTTCTATACAGAATAAATAATGTTACATTTTTATAATTTTATAATAAGTAAACTCTATAAATACAGGGGTGCATTTACAGTCTTTCTGGCAGTTTCAGCAGCTGGTTCTTAAGTCAACCTATATATTAATGCTACATCACCACAAACTGTATAAAATTCTGCTAGAATATTATATTTCCCTATATTCACATGACGTACTTTCTGTGCGCTGTATTGCACTACGTGACGACATATGTACAGGACAAGCTTTAATAAAACATCTGTACAGTGAATTATACCTTATTATCCCTGTGTTTCATATTAAATGAAGTTATATATTCCTGCTATTTTTTAAAAAAGAACAATGATACATGGTAATATGTATTGCTGGTGAAAATGCTGACCTTGAAAACCAATGTGCGACATTTTAATGTGTGAAATACATTTAGAATCGTACTGTTTAAGTGCTTTACCCAGAACTGAGGAATATCAAAGTGTATGAAACATTAACTAAATGTTCTGTATTTTTTACTTCCTTTAAACTGAAATGTCGCTTACGTTTGTTGCCCACAAATGACACTAATAATATAGAAACAAAATGCATGTACTGTGTCCTTATGAATAATGTAATTTACTTAGCAAATGCTTTTATGCAAACTGATGTACAGCTGAGAGAGCAGGCTCAGCCAGTCCCTGAAGCAGCAGGGGTTAAGGGCCACACTCAGGGGCCCGATGGTGAAATGACTGCTGACCCTGGGATATGAACCAACAACACAGGCACAGAGCCCTAACCTGAAGAGCCACACATCACACACCAAAACATCAGCACATATTGTGCTAAAGCATCACTCCTAACAGGATAGTTTTCACATTGATTACAGTATATCTCTTCTTTTTATTACTAGGTTGCAAAAAAACAATGAACTTTTTTCATTTAAAATGAAATATTACTACACTTTGGCTTTCAATCATTATAAATTACATTTTAAATAAAACTAAAATTTAAAAAGCCACCATATCCACTCATCCTGGAACTTATAGGGTTTCAAAGTTTTTCCTCTTCAGCTGAGAACAGAAAGAAAAGCTTGAACGTAAGCAGCACCGAGCACAACGCAAAACTCCGCTAAGCTCGAAAGATAACTAAAAAAATATTTAATTTCTCGCCTATTTACACAGCTGAGTAGCCACTGATCAGTTCCATTTATTTACACTTTCCAAGGATACAACAACAATAAACTTGTCCCTGATAAGATGTTCTTAATCACCGTCTTCTGCTGACCCCTAAAGCACAAGCATCAGCAGCTGACAGACAAAAAAGTTCCAGTTGTGTATCACAGCCTATAACTTCAACACATAAAAAACGCAACAAGATAGTCTGATTGTCAAATGAACCCTGCTAGCCTGTCTTGGGTGTTCCTACTGGGTCAAGGGACATTCCATATGGAACAAACACCACATAATTCATCTAAAAAAGCAAAATCATATACAAATTAAAAGGATCAGTGTGCCTGGAGTTTGACTGAAACTAGACAGCAAATACAGTGCATGCAGAATATAACAAAATATTCTGAAAGCATGACCTTAATCATCTCCGGATGCCTGACCACAGCTCTCCGCCACATGCACTGCTGTGGACTCAGATCAGTGGTTCTGGGGCAGCACCCGCTTCAGAATAGAAGCACACATTATCTCTATTTTGAATTACGGCGTCATTTTGGGCGCGGCAGCTAATGATAGGAGGGAAACGAACGTCTAGGCTTTGGGTTTTAGCGTCTTGTTATTAAGTTATAATTTAGTGGCAGGAGAGGTGAGTCTTTCAGGCTCAGACATGAACTCTCCTTTTCATCTCCTCTGTTCTACTGCTCTCGCTCCTCCTCCTCCTCCTTTCTCTCCTCTCCCATGTTTTACTTCCCTTGTTCCTCCTCTTCCTTGCCCTCCTCTCCATCCTCTGCATCTCCTGCTTCTTCCTGCTCCCCAGGACACACTTCCACTGAGAGCATCTCCTCCCCACCGTGCCTGGGTGTCATCCGTATCAGCATGGAGCAGTCTGAGGTTTCCGACACCACGTCGACATCGTCATGGGGGAGCTTACGTGGGACAGGGGAGCGGCGGTGCACGGGGGAGGGAGGGGGAATCGGGGACGAGCTGGACGGCTATGAGGACAGAGACAAAACCGCAGACAGGGACATGGATCAATAACCCTTGGGGAAAACATCTAAAACATTCCATCACTCCCAGTGTCCGGCAGATGCTAGGACCTCACATCTTACACAGACAGGCTTAACACCCAAACTGCTGAGAGGCTAAATGAGAAATAAATCATTCAGCTCAAACCGTGCGTCTCATCATGGAGAGAACCATTGTATGGAGATAATGCCAAAGTTAGCAATTTTATTGAATTAAAAGTTTTCATTTTTTTGAATGAGGTCATGAACGGGACATCAGTCTGCAGATCATCCAAGGTCATACCTCTAGGGTGGTGCTGGACGTGTTTGTCTTGCCCTTCAGTTTAGAGAAGATCCCTTTCATGCCAGACTTTTCTGTCATCTCCAGAGCTGCCCTGAATAATTTCGGAGTCTCAGGACGGGGTGGAATCACTTGTGGGGGGTCCTTTGTCTCCCCTTTATCATCCGCCGGCTTCTTGTTTTTTGTTAACATTTTTCTGGGAGGGAGAATGACAGTAAAAACAGCTGAATTCGCTATTTTGATGTTTTTATACCAGCATGCACATTTTATGCTTATAACATTGTCCCAAGAGTCGTCATTTCCTTCTCATCTCACAAGGGGACGAATCACAAGAAAGAAGGCTGATCACATGAAACCACCCAACTCCTTTCCGAATGTGTTCTGTTATACAGTGAGGGCTTTTTTATTTCCTGGGTCCACCTCCGTCTCGCCAGAGACACTGGGCAGCACTCTGTGTTGGCTCGGTCACACGGATGGTCATATGACCAAGCATGTGATTCCCCAGCTGTGATTAAAAGCGCTATGTTGGGGTTATGGAGGCCGCAGAGGCCGCAATCCTCTCTCACTTGGCCTTCTTGCGCAGCAGCTTCTGGGATTCGGGATAATGGACCAGGATCTCCGCCAGGTCCTTCTTGTCCAGGATGAACAGGTTAGCGAAGCCATGGGCCACTACATTAGCCGTCCGGCGGTTCCCTCCTCCCACTGCCAGCAAGCTGCCCCCCCCAGGGGACAGACAGAGGAGATGAGTTTGAGAGGAATTTCCCACTCCATGTTCACTCAAAATAATGTGGTGAAGCAAGTTATTTTCAGGATCAATGAACGTGGGGCAATAGGCTTCATATCAAAAACAAAATAAATAAATGTGTTGGTTATCAAATGTAAATATCATGAGTGAAAATGCGTTTAGTAATAGTAGCAGTAGAAGCAGTAATAATAGCAAAAATGGTAACAACAATAATTACATGTGTGAGTGATGTGCAGGTTAATCACAGGTCACATGACCATTCCACTCCTCACCTAATTTCTCCAAATACAGAGCCTGCCTTCAGCGTCACAAACACAGTCTTCCCGTCGGGCCCGCCCACCACTTGCACCTCCCCAGCTTTGATGATATACATCTCCCTTCCGATCTCTCCCTGCAGTGGCCGGGGGCGGAGCATTAATTTCCTAGACAGACCGTGATTGGCTCAAGGGTGACCAATGGCATGCTGCTGTTCATGCAACAAACAAGAAAAAATACTGACATGCTACAGAGAACAAAGTCCTGTGGGGTGGTTCAAATTACTGGAAGATCAACAGCATGTAACCTGTTTACAAGTACATGAAGTTCACTAAGCTAGGCTTGCCCTACTCCAGTCACATCCACAAAGCAGAAGTGAGTGATTAACTGAAATGAGAGGATGATGTAAAAAAAAGTCAGGTTTATTGTTGCGGATTCATAAAAAAAGAGGAGAGGCATATATACCTTTTTGCAAACATAGTCACCTGGGAGGTACACCACAGAGCGGAGTCGCTTTAACATGTCAAAAATCATCTGTCGGTCACAACCCTGGAAGAAGGAGAGAAATATGAAAGCAAATAAAAACAAAAAACAGCAGCGTAAGCAGTCAGTGCCACTCTCTAAAGTCAAAGGTAACTTCTGCTCCATCAGGAAAAGTCAAGTCACCGTTTAATCAAAAGAAAATTTGGTTTACAATGTTAAATAAGTGGAATAATGTTGCTCTTGAATGACTGGAAAACGGGGTGATTATGCAGACTGGATGTAGCAGAACTGAAACGTGGTCCCACACTCACGGCCGAACCGCGCCAGACTTGCCTGGAACAAAGCCACTTTGCTGACAATGTCGTAGTTGACATCCACGGCGATGTCGAGTCTCATCTTGTCTGGCAGCTGCACCAGTAACCCCTGCTCGTCTGACGCCGGGATGAACCGAAAGAATCACAAAACTCTGACATTCAAAGCTTCTTGGAAAGCGGGAAAGGCCCTGAACTCAGTAACAGCAACACAGAATGCATCATGCCGGTAAGTGATTAGATATGTCTTACCCAGCATGCCCTGGGACTGCCAGGTGTAGTCATACCAGGTCTTGACCCGGTTCTGCACATCACGAGGAATGTGGTAGGAGGCCATGTACTTGATGGTGTTGTCCATGCAGGCTCTGTAGTAGGTCTTCCCCGCTGTGGCCGCACCCACCACATCTCTCATCTGTAAGAGCACAGCGAAGTGAGGAATCAGCTGCAAATGAGCATTTCCAAATAGCAGGTTATTAATGAAAGACGTCACACAATTTAAATCATGTGACAGGTTGTGGGGCTTGAGGGCTTTCTGTAAACGATGGGTTAAACCAAACTTATAAATCTGTATTTGTGCTAAGTAAACATACCACCCACCTAACCATCCATCTTCCAATCAATTATTGGGAACAGGGTCATAATTATTAGTAACTGCTAGTTATGTCCTATAGAATGATCAGTCCTTAACTGTTCAAGCCCCATATATAAATAATCAACTGAAATTCTTAACGAATGCTGTATCATTATTTCTTGGGGTAAGACCATCTTTCATTATTGGCACTTTTTGGATCCCCATGGGGAAATTCACGTTTCACCCCCCCCTCTTGCCGTCCACGAGAGCCAGTGGGCTGTGAAGGGCAGCCACCCATAGCAGCACCCAGAGAACTGGGGGTCAAGGACCCACAGATGTGTCGAGGTGGGGCCTGAACTGGCGAACTATTGATCACGGGCACTGAGCCTTGGCCCGGGGGGGGAGCCAAACGCTGCCCATTGAAAATTGATCCTTTTTACTTTTGCCTCAGAACAATATGGCTGCAACATAATGGGAAACTTATATCAGGTCTGATGGTAGAACATTTACCTTTGTGGTGCTATAATTAATACCTTAAGCTTAATTAAACCGTCAGCGAAACAAAAATCCAATATTCATAGCATGCCATGAAAAATAAGGTTGGGAAGCGATCGATTGTGTAACTCAAGCTGACTATGTAACTCAAGCCTACCTGTCCAATCATTATGGAAAAGGCAAAGACTCCTACAAAGTAATTGACCAGCTGGAAGAGGGTCTCAAAAAGAGTGGTGGGTCCAGGAACCCCCCCAATGGTGAGGAGGGTCTTCACAGCGTAGTAATAGCAGCGAATATAACTGGATGACAGAAGAGAATATAAATCTGTTAAACCATGACTGGGGGAATCAGAGCTCAGGAATCCAATTACGTCTTTGTTACTGCCGTTCTTATACCTGTTGCCCGATCCATCATATGTCCATTGAGTGGATCCAAGTCCCTCGTAATCTGAGCCCCAGTAGAAGAGACAGGCATTGCAGTGCAGGGAGTAGAGGAGGTAGGTGGTAGTACGAATGACTCTGACACGAGGAGGATAAACATGTTTTTGGAACCTCATGGCATTTTTACAGAACTCAAACGTATCGTGTTTCATTTGCTACCAAGGGACAGTTTCAGGGAGAAGTCAGACAAGAATGGACCTCAGACCCCTCAGGAATTAATCAGCCACAATATCATCTTACCTGTAGATGTAAGCTTTGCTCAAGATGGCTTCCAGACGGTCATTGAACTCAAAGAAAGACATGAACTGTTGGTTGAGAACGGTAGAATGGCTGTCATTACATGTGGTATTGATTATACGTTGAACACTGAAGGTTGCTCTGCATCATGAAGAGCAGTGCACTTCTACAGTGTTACTCTTCCAGGACTTAGGGTCTCATCCCGGTCCACAGGGACTCCCATACAGTCCACATTTTTGCTCCCTCCCAGTACAACTGAACCAAGCAATCAAGAACACTGAATACCCGGTACAGGTGTGTTTGGAGCTGGGAGGGAGCAAAGATGTAGATTGTCTGGGGAACCACGAGGACTGGGTTGAGAATCTCTGATCTAGGAGAAGTAATATGATTCGAAGAGGCATTTATTTAGCAATAGATGTGAATTACTGCTATCTGGGCATTATACCGTCGCTGTGAACTCAGAGGAACGGAAAAGGCTGCCTCCAATAACACAGGATTATTTCCTGTAGGCTCACCTTCAGAATCCGAGGGAGACGAAGCAGTGAATTGAAACCAGTCTTAATATACAACAACTCCAGTGGAATGAGAGATACGATATCCATCTGAAATACATAGTTTTGTTAGAATAAACATTTAGTAAAGGATCAATGACAATACACTCTCGAAATGCAGGAGTATATAAAGTAACTAGTATGTTAAAAAATTGTCCTGACCTTGAAACGCAGTGTTTTCGTGTAATTACCCCTCATTTCTTTTTTGTCACACTGCAACAAAAACCGGAATGTTTTGGCATTAAAAATTGGTGGATTTTGCTAAGGAACCTGTGTCTATAGCAAAGTGACACTCGTCATCCCCAGAGGGAAACTGTCTTTTCACCTGTTCTGTGTTACTCTCCATGAGAAATACTTACAGCTGAAGGCAAACTTGGGGGTAACACTACAGGGTCAATCAGAGTGTAGCCCCCCGGAGCCAAGGGCATAATTTTGGGTTGAGCACTGGAGGAATTGAGGTCTCCGGTTTAGATTATTGGGGGGGGGGGGGTTAGAACCCCCTCATAATTTACACCCATGCCTGGAGCAACTGGAGATTAAGGGGCTTGGTCAACAGCCCAACAGCAGCATCATTCTGTTATCCCTGGGATTTGAACCAGCAACCTTCTGATCATAGGCACAAAGTCCTACCCAGCTGAGCCGTATAACTATATATACAGCAGGGACTCAATCACACTGCTCAGAAATCTGTCCAGGATGCTGCTCACTGCGGTTTTGCTCAGTATTCACTCACCACGATGTCTCCGCTACGGACAAACTGCAGGCGAGGCTGAAACAGCAGAATGTCCAGGATGTAGATGGCGTCACACAGGTAGTCCGCCAGCAACCAAAGGTGGATGTTGTCTGGGGTCTGGTATGGGAAGGCCCAGCGCACTGGGATCAGCCATATGTTCCAGTTCCAGGCAATCGTGACAAAGAAGAGCCAGAGAACATAGACCAGGTCTACAGCAAAGGAGATAGCAGGAGTCATTTATGCGGACACACTTATCCAATAACTGGCCCAGCTGGGTTGCAGCACATTCATCACCTTGATTTTTTGATTTTTCCATTTATAATCTTTATATTCCACTCAGAGGTGTGTCAAGTGTTTATCAAACCGGTCCTCTGAAAACCCAAGTCCCTCAGACAGTTCACATTTTTGCTCCCCCCCCAGACAGTCCACGTTTTTGCTCCCCCCCCCCAGACAGTTCACATTTTTGCTCCCTCACATCTCCTGGTAGGGTCCTCAACTAACCTCGTTTAATAAAATTGAACCCCAACCCCTTCCCTCTGGTCCACAATCTTTACTGTTATAGAAAATATTGGGGGGAGGGAGGGGGGACTCTGATAACTCAAGTAACCCAGGAGCCTTTGACCATATTAATGGAGAAATGCTTAAACTATATGAATAAATATGAAACAGACATTTCACTATAGATATTGGTTAATCATAGTCATTGCCTAACCACTATGTCTTAAATATCTGGTCTCTTTCTTGAAATGACATTTATTGACAGCATTTTTAGCCAATAGAAATACCCGTTTGGGAGGCCTCCTCTATTCGACACGCCCATTACTCCAGCCCGCAGGAATACCCGTTTGGGAGGCCTGCTCTATTCGACACGCCCATTACTCCAGCCCGCAGGAATACCCGTTTGGGAGGCCTGCTCTATTCGACACGCCCATTACTCCAGCCCGCAGGAATACCCGTTTGGGAGGCCTGCTCTATTCGACACGCCCATTACTCCAGTTTGCAGAAGCCTGTACATGTATTAATGTGCCTCTGGTTCCTCTACTTCTCCCTATGGATGTTTTGGCAATTTTACTGATGACACCTGAAATCTCTCTTCCCAAATTAACACACTTGACAGACTCAGTGATAGTCGCTTGTGAAGTGGACGTCATGTTTGCAGGCAAGGAGGAAGCCTCAGTTCTGCCTGTTGCGTTTCTTTAGATATTTAGTGGCTGCTCCAGTTAGAAGACCAAGGCCATTTAGAGCGTGTTTTATTCTACAGGCTGATAAGTTATGCGTAAGTGCCAGCATCTCCTGTTTATTATGTCTGAGTCACTGAATATGTAATTGACAAACCTGATATTTATGTGTATGCATTGTATACCCCCACAACATAAGCCTCTGAAATTCACTTTCTCACATTAAATAAAATACTCCTTTTCATGCTTCACTAGTTACCTGCTATTACGACTGAATCATGTAAATAAATCAGTCGCAGGCCTGAATCCGCTTGTTCCTAAATTCATGTAATTATCTTAATTACTCTGCTGATCTCTGTGCCTGTGTGGCTGCTGGTTCAAATTCACACATCTAAAGTACAAACATTCACTGTCATTAAACAGTGAATGATAATTAACCATGTTAAAGTTTAACAACCATCCATGAGGTTCACAAGGCCTTTAATATCTGTTTATCTGCTAGACCACAGCACTCCTGTACTTTGCTGCTTGGACCTTACCTCTCCTAACCCTAACCCTAACCCTAACCCTAGGACCCGCCTCCTCTACAATTTTATTGGTTATCACTATTGATTATCATTTTTGTGTCAGTGAAACTTCCATGAGCGCTAAAAGGCTGATGGTAGTAGAGTTCCCAAAGATCAATGAAAGGCTGGTCCCCATTGTCATAAGCCGAACACCAGTGGTGTGGTTCCTGGAGGCCTGCCCCACATAGGTAGACCATAATCCCCTATAAATCAAAACTCCCTGCTTGATTCCATATACCAATGTTTCCCAATCCAGTCCCCGGTGACCCTCAGACAGTCCACGTTTTTGTTCCCTCCTAGGAAGTATAAAAGTGAACTGTCTGGCAGGGAGCTGGGAGGGAGCAAAAACGTGGACCGTCTGTGGGTCTCCGAGGACCGGAATGGGAAACACAAACCATAAACAGAAGAAAAGGCAGATTAAGTTCTCACTGGTGAAGGGGTCGATGCTTTCAGGGAGCCGGTACTTCATAAGCTTCCTGGACCACGAGGGCAGTTTCACTTTGCAGCACAGCCTTTCATAGTAGTGTTCCTCTAAATCCTTGTCTGATGGACCAAGGGCCTCGTCCTTCTTCTCTTCTTCAGGAGGAGGATTCTCTGCAGGCTTCTTGGAGGGGGCTGCATATAAAAAGGTGAAAGTGAGAGGCTCAAGTGGGAATATGGCTGAATGCCACTATATTAGATAGATAACAACCTTGCTTTGTAAAAAGGTATGATTACCAATCCGTAGGGATAAACCACAGTGCATCCCACAACCCTAAGCCTAACCCTAAGCCTAACCCTAAGCCTAACCCTAACCCTAAGCCTAACCCTAACCCTAATGTGTCTACTCACAGCCAGAGGGGCTCTCATCATCAGAATCGTCTGGATCAACAAGTTTTTCCTTGACGCGTTCAGTTCTTTCCTTGAAAAGCTTCACCAGCTCCTGGAGCCGCTCGGTGACAATGGTGCTCGTTTGGCTCAAGGCAGAGGCTGGCCGCTCCTTTGCGCTGTGGAGACAAATGACACTGGCAAAGAGGAAGTGACATCACAGCACTGTGTGCTTGCAGAGAAACCAAAAAGCATCGGCAAAGTCACATGACAAAGACAGCTGAAATAAGCTAATTTATTGAGAAGAGGTCACTCTTAGTAGTATACTGTACGACATCTAAAAACTACTAAAATTCCTAAAATCAAAAGAAATTCCCAACTTTAGCATAAAATGAGCTGCATCTGAAATACAGGTATTTATTCCAATGACATTGTGTTTCTCTTTTTGAAACAGAAATTTGAGCTGCTGGGTGTAATATTTATAGATGTCAAGCTTAAATAGAGATTCTTCCTCATCAGTTCACTCCTTTGTGTTTAGGGATGTCGAACACTCAGGAGGCCAACTCACCTTTCATCAGCACTCATGAGGCTGCTCTGGCTACGCCAAGCCCTGATGGTTCTCTCACCTTCTTCCTCATCATCATCCTCCTCGGAGTACAGCCTTTTTCTGGACAGGGCAGAAGAAGATCAGCTGCAGCACAGCAAGAATCGCAGAGACGGATACCACATGTGTGTAGGTATGGTGCCTTCGGGCACAACTGTGACATCCAAGACCGGCGTGTGACACGGAGTGACAGACAAACAAGAAGGTTATGATTCATGATTCTGTGCCAATGAACATGATGAGTCACTTGGGGATGGAATGGGTTGCACGACATTTGGAAATAGGGCTTTATTGGGTTAGTACACATGACCTGGTAGGACATACTGTTTGGATTCTGCTTAACCTGGAGCAGGGGAGGTCACAGACTCAGACTTGTGAAGCCGTAATGCACGGTGAGGGTTAGGGTTAGGTTTAGGGTTAGGGCTAGGGCTAGGTTTAGGGATAGGGATAGGGTTAGGCGGGATCTGAACATGTGATGTCCAGGATGTGGGGATGCTGACGGTAAATGGCAACAGCAACGGGCAGTTGGGTTTGCTTGGGTGTGTCTTACATCTTTGTCCAAAATAACTGCAATTTGCGGCCTCTGGGTCCAACCATGCATCTGCCCGCGTGAGGGAGATGGGTTGGACATGGGGTTGCCGCAGGAAGTGACGGAAGACGGAAAGAGAAGGAAGGATAGAGGAACGAAAAGACAGAGGACAAGCTGTAAAACTACCAGGCTGGGTTCAAGTCAGTTGTGATACAATCTGTCTGTGCCACATGTATCTTCTATCATTCACAGTGTAAAATACACAAAATACTAACACTTTGGAAACACTCTTGTAAAAATCTAGTAGTTATTTGCACATGATTATGTGTGTAACCTGCGCACAATATTTTAATAATATTACTTTATACTGATAACATCCAACATCTACAATAAAACAGAGTTGTAATGACAACTTTTATAAAATTAATTATATATCTTACTGTTGCACACATAATATGATTACACTGTGAGCTAAAGTGATTCTGAGCTAATGTTTCCCTAGCTGTGAGTAATGTTCACTTAAGAACTCATTTTACAAGAGGTAGGCTATTTTAAATGTTCCACATGTGATCACATGCTAAACAGCAGGGTTTCCCAAACCAGTCCTTGGGGACACCCAGCCAGTCCATGTTTTCGCTCCCTCCCAGCTTCCTGCCAGACAGTCCACATTTTTGCTGGGGAGCTGGGAGGGAGCAAAAACATGGACTGTCTGGGGCTCCCAGAGGACCGTGATGGAAAACACTGCTATACATCATAGCTTTTTATTTTTGGAAATGTTGGAATAAAAACTGGAACAGAAGGAAAAGCACAAGGGATGTAAGACAAATCTCTATGTTCCTGTGATCTAAAAGCCACTGACGATGGAAGGGGGGGGGGATCTCACTGCTCTGACCAAGCAGGGCTCACAGAATACAAAGAAACACAGAGACCAGGAGAAGAGAAAGGCACAGCTAAGGGGGTAGGTGCAGGATGAGCTGCTGTGGAGTGTGGAAGCATCTAACTGCGTATATGAAGCTGATACACTGTACAGTGTACACTCTACAGCTACAACTATCCATACATCTCATCTCTGCTGCATTCACACTGTACACTCTACAGCTACAACTATCCATACATCTCATCTCTGCTGCATTCTTACTCATTGTCCTCTGATTTGCTGTATTTTTTCCCGAAGAGAGAAAAAGAAATATACAAAAGGAATGAAGTTTTATTATCTCCCAATTTCATGAGGCTGTATGTCACGGTTAATGCACGACAGGCCATGCATCTTAAGCTTTTGGAGACAAAGAACCATCCAGTGCACTGTGCACTGAAAAATTGCACTGGGTGTTTAAAACATATAATGCGTGAACTGGAGTGCATTAACCTGCTTATAACACTGACATTACACTGGAGTGCATTAACCTGCTTATAACACTGGAATTACACATTTGGCTAACATGTTTGCACCTAAAGACATCATTTCCACATTGACGAGCCGAAAATGCATGTATTGGTATAATTACTTTCTTCTGCCAATGATTAAGACATTTTGCTTTGATATGACCATAACCCTTCATTAATTCAAAAATTGTCTATTGCTAACAGAGTATATCATAATATTGTAATAGTACGCTGATCAGAGGCGTCAGCTCACCTCCGGGACGCCATTTTCATGCCGGGCACGGTCAGGGTTTTAAGGTTGGGTTTGTGTGGGGTGACAACTTGAGGCAGGTAGCTAGGACCCCCTCCCAGCTCTCCATCTGAGTCCACATCCTCCACGTTTACAGCGGGGTGCGTGCTTAAGCGGGAGCTCTCTGAGGAAACACGTACATGTACGTGAGTCTGAGTGAGCATCCTAAACCACAGCAAAGTCACTCTTTTTGCCGATTTAAGTGGCAAACATCCGATATCTGAATTTTCCGAATTATATAAAGTAGTGTTCCTCAACCTAGTCCTCTGGGACCTCAGATGGTCCACATTTTTCTCCCTCCTAGCTCCCAATACACCTGTACCAGGTATTTGGGGTTCAGATGTGCTAGAAGATGGGATGGAGCAAAAATGTGGACTGTCTGAGGTCCCAGAGGACTGGGTTGAGGAGCACTACTCCAAGTAAGTGAGACCCTTGAGAAACACAGCATTATGTATGTTTGTGAGAAACTTGCGATGCAGCGTGACATCATGCTACATCAGCGCACGATTTAGGATGTAACCGCATGGCACTAGGCTGCCCTACAAAGACAGAACACAGTAACTACACTCACACTAAAACTGATGAAATGGGCTTCAAAGTTCTTTGACTGTCTACCCGAATATGTAGTAGGTAGGTGAATGATAGTGTACATCTTAAATGTATATTTATCAAGTCACTAAGACATTTTGTTATGAGATAATACAATGCATGAGAGACCAGATTTTAGTCATAACTCAGTTTTGATAAAATACGCCGTGATGGAGTTGCCTTTGTATGGCACTAGAGGGCGGTGCGGATGGGGGTGTCTCACCTGAGGGTCGGGCGGAGGGCAGGGCGGGGTTTTCCTCACTGTGGAAGCTAGGATTAGAGAGGCCTGATGACTGCTTGGAAAGGCCAATGGGAGGCAGGCGGGGGTAACTGGGAACGTTGGGAAGCTCCAGCGTGCTGCCGGGAGAGGATGGGGAGGGGGTCCGCGAGAGCAGGGCGGGGTCCTTCCGCACTAGTTGGTCTAACTCCAGGGATAGATTCTGCTGCTTAGGCATCTTGTTGAGGCTTGAGTCTGTTAAGGTGGTTCACAACGTTGAGGTAGTACTGGTGGCTGAGCTGGGGTATCTGAACGAGCTGTGGGGGCAGTTGAGGTTTCAGCTGGGCCAGGTGCTGGTTGAACTGGTCCAGCTGTGCCTGCAGGTGCTGGTTGAGCTGGTCCAGGTGTGGCTGCAGGTGCTGGTTGAGCTTGTCCAGGTGTGGCTGCAGGTGCTGGTTGAGCTGGGCCAACTGCGGGGGCAACTCAGGCATGGGGGGCAGTTTCGGCAAAGTCACGCCGCCATCCTGCAGGTGACGGCTGCAGTGGTTGAGGCAGTCAGGCATGCAGGGGACTCGCATTAGGCAGCGTTTTACTGCAGGACAGCTGCCTGGGGCTGAAAGGCAGAGACAACACAGCCTGTCACTGCCTCATGCTCCGCAAAACTGACAGATTAGTTTTTTTTTACAACTGTCAGCCTATTAAGCTGAGGAAAGTTCACACTCAGCATCAGCACAAGGGCAGGGACTTAAAGCCACCAGGAAGCCGAGCCTGAGAACCTCACAAGCGCACTCTGCAAAATCACAATATTACACAATTATTACATAATTTACTCATATTAATTACACTATAGGCCAGTGTTTCTCAACCCAGTCCTTGGGGACCCCAGACAGCCCAGGTTTTTGCTCCCTCCCAGTGCCCTTTGAGCTGAGAAGGAGCAAAAACATGGACTGTCCAGAAACACTGTAGCAGTGTTGAGAAACACTGCTACATCCTCCTGAGACTCCACCCATTTGTTATTGGTCATTGTAGTGGACATTTTGTTTTTGCATCTATCTTTTCACTGATGTTAGGAAACATATGTATTCCTGTTGTGCACTAAAGACGACATGCTGTGAAGTAAAATAAAAATAAATTTGAAAAAATCTAAACTGTAAGATGTCTTATTTCCTCCAAAGACAAATAACCTAAAATAGGAGGATAGGCAGTCTGCAAAACATACAAGCCCTCTACAATGTCATACACTACATTTGTGGATGATTTGCACATCTGTGAATTTCAGTTTTAACGAGGCATGCAGACTTGCCTTCACACTCGACCCCCTTATCATCTTCACCCTGCAGTGGTGCAAATGAACAGCTGTGAATGACTGAACTGTGAAGCTGCATAACCAGGATGTCACAATTCTTTGGCAGCAAGGCGACGCTGGTCTTACCTGTGCAGAAACTGGGGTGAGACACTGATCCTCACTAGTGTTCGGCTGCTCGGTCACTGGTGGACAATCCGCGTTGTCCTCAGATGGGGAAATTCTGCTGTGTGAGTCTTTCTTTGTTATCACTGCTGGTTTAGGCTCCTCTGGTTCCTCAGGTGGCGGTGATGATGGTTCAGGTACTGGTTCCTCAGTCAGAGGAGATAATGTCCTTAGATGTTCAGGTTCTTTGGGTGAAGGAAGCTCTGTCTCTGCTGATTCTGGTTTCTGATCCTCGACAGGAGGTGATAATGCCTTGACTTCATCCGCCCCTGGTTCCCAGTGAGAATTTCTGTGTGGTTGTGAAGGGGGGCTCTGAGCTAATGTTTCTGTCTCTGACGCCTCTACCTCTGAAGCCTCCTGCAGTTTGCGTTCTGGAGGGCTGGGTATATTCTCCACGGGACACACAAAGCACCTGTGGAAAGCCAAAAAATGTCAGGAGAACAACATAATCAAACCCGGAGCATGTGCAGTATTAACTGTCCTATACACTATGTGACGGAACATCACGGCTGGTCTTTAAATACGAAATATCCCAAGCGTTTGCAACAGTGACATCATGTTAAAAGCTGGCGAAATTATCACAATATATAGAAAACCCTTTAGCATCGAAATCGTGCAGCAAACTAACATTCACAATAAAATAAAAAATAAAAACATCACGGGAATGGCAATAGTGTTGCGTAACTTTTTAACGGTTTTAAAACGGCAGCGACAGCTACTAGAGGCATACCGTAAATATCTGGTATAGCATATTTACAAGCAGCCCTAAAAATGAAAACAAAAAATGAAATTGCAAAAAATTCACTTACAAAAGGTCCACCGGAAGGTGCTGGATAAAAGAGGACGGTTCTAGAATTTACACATGAGCAATCATGTCAAAAGGAGTTATAAAGTGCAACCAAACACGCATGGAACAATCTTATGCAGGAGACAAATCGAGCTTCTAAATCATATTTCTCATGCAATAAGTGGAAACTGCGCCATCCTTTTGCAGTGTCAGCGCAGAAAACATGAAAGCAGAGGTAAGTTTCTAAGGCAACCGTCCAGAGGAGAAGCAGCGCAGTTGCTATGACTGGGAAGCGTGTTGCTATAGCAGCGGGAATAATTAATGATCATCCTACTGGGATTATACGGAGTTTACAGTGAAGCGAAGGGCTATAGGGAGAAGCCCGAGCGCATTCTGTCCCTTAGGCGGGAACATATGGGACAATGACTTCACAAACATTTACTGAAAACACGTCACTTTGTCGCACATCAAAGGTAATTTCATGCTCATTAATAATTTATTTTAGAAAAAGACTCAGGATGACAAGACGTGCCAAAAATGAATTCAAGATTCATCAACCTATAGTTAGTAAAGCATGTGAGTTTAAAAGGGAAGTAAACGGTTTATATTTAAAGCAATAATTAGTTTCCTTTTTAAATAATTGAAAATAACTGCAAAGTAAATTAAGTAAAACAAATGTAATGTAAACTTGGAAAGTCTCTCCACCTCAGCATCAATCTGCTGTTTTGAAAGATCGAGAAAATCTATTGGACTTGTTGCATGATAACTTCAGTCTTACTGTCTTTGAATCTACAAGTGCATCACATAGTATATAAGATACCACTCCATATTTAAAAAAATCAGCATTTTTAAATCCTGGTTTAATACTGGTTCCGCTGGCAGAAGGCTACACTGCATGTCAGGCTGCTTCCAGATTCGGAGATTCTAAGACAGCAGTAGCCTACATGAGAAGAAGGTGAAGCAGGAGACACTGGGAATAACCAGAAACCAGCCAGGTAGAGGGCAGAAGCAACTTTCTAATGCCAGAGATGACCGTCAATTTATCCTGCAGTGCCTCATAAATCGTAGAATGACCTCAAGTGACCTTCAAAAAAAATGTGTAATATCAAGTGGCGTGAAGTGCACTGCTAGGACAATAACAGGCTCCTAGAAGCAGGACTGACCCATAAAGCAAGGAAGAAGCCCTTCATTAATGAGAAACAGGGAAGAAACAGGGTGCAGTTTGCAAAAACATATATATAATTGAGAGACGCACATCCATAAATTGATAAATGAGTGAAACAAAAAATTTTGCTGTGGTCTCATAATTTTTTCAAAAGCTGTATACTTGGATGTACTGAAAATTAACTACTGAGTACAAACAATAGTATCGTTACAGGGTGGTACACCTGTAATTTCCTTACACATTCAGCAGCTCAGACTATCTACGTATGAATAGAAGATGCAGAGGATCTCTGTGAGATATGGTGGTCCCCACTGTCTCACCTTACGTTCACCTTGCCCGGGTACAGCCTCTGCCCACCGACAGCTCTTACGTTCGCCCTGCCCGGGTACAGCCTCTGCCCACCGACAGCTCTTACGTTCGCCCTGCCCGGGCACAGCCTCTGCCAACTGACGGCTCTTGCGTTCGCCCTGCCCGGGTACAGCCTCTGCCCACCGACAGCTCTTTCGTTCACCCTGCCCGGGCACAGCCTCTGCCGAGTGACGGCTCTTATGTTCGCCCGGCCCGGGCACAGCCTCTGCCCACTGACGGCTCTTACACTGACTTCTTATTCACAGCCATCGCCTCCTCGCCCTCCTCCTGTCCCCCCAGTAACGTGTGCAGCACATGACAGGACACACAATCAAGGTCAGCCTTCTCGCTCGGCCAGAGCGTAACAACAGCGGCCCAGAAGTCAAAGCAATCAGAGTGTAGCTAAAATTAAGCCCTACTTGTCCACATTTTACTTGTTTTAGATGTAAGATGTGGAAATGAAAATGTGAAAATTTAATAAGAAGGAAAACTACTTGATGTCATGCACAAATCAAACAATGCATGACATTCTAGGATGGACCGCTTGAGAACAATGAGCTGGTCTATCCTAAAAGCCTCTTTCAGTATTAAACAAAAATAACTGAGTGATGCTGGCTTGTTAATCTACTACAAAAATTAAATTAGAATGGGAACAAGACTTACTCTGGATCTTCTTCATTCTCTTGGTCCTGGATATCTGGACATCTTTGTGAAACAAACAGTGGTTAGACTGGCATGTTCATACAGGACTTTGGGAGGTGTCATGGAGAGCTACTGCTGAACCACATACTTACGTCACAGCTCCCATTCTCACATAGCGCTTTTTATCACAAGCCGGGAAGCCACCAAGGTGCCAGCAAGACACCACCAAGGTGCCAGGAAGACACCACCAAGGTGCCACCAAGAAGCCACCAAGGTGCCACCAAGACACTACCAAGGTGCCACCAAGACACCACCAAGGTGCCACCAAGAAGCCACCAAGGCAGTACAGAGATATCCAGAGTCAAGGAGAAGTGCCTGAGAAGTGCAACTCAGTGTGGTGCAGGCTGGTGACTGAGATTCGGCTGCATAGCTTACTGTTCTCCACCGTCTGCCTCTGCTTGAGGCTCCCACGCCTGCATGGCGGCCCGCTTCTCCGCCAGCTCCTCCGCCCGCTCCTCCGCCCGCTCCTCCGCCCGCTCCTCCGCCAGCTCCCTCACTGCTCTCTCGGCGGCCCGCCTGGCAAACTCCTTCACCATCCTCGCGGACTCCAGCCTCTCCAGTTGGAGTCTGGAGAAAGCAAACAAGGCTCGGTTGCCAATCTGAGGTGCAGTAGAGGATTCTGGGGCAGGGTCTAGCAGGAAGTATGACTGGAAAGTTTGGCGTCCGAACTCTTGAAGCGATGGCCAGCCTATTTAACTCACTACCCACACGGTATCCCCACCCACCGTGGCTTTGAAAGTCTCATTTCTTGAATGACTAAAGTGTTTAATTCAAAACAGAGGTAAGATCTTTCTATGTCATGATGGCACAGCATGGGCCCTCTCCTGGACACCCTCAGGCCCAGGTGTGGGACAACTTCCCCAGTTCTCCTCCTGAAATGGGTGGCCTGGTTACGGCACGTATGCCAACAAAGAACTTTTAACTATATATATATATATATAAGAGCGTAGGCTTGATTTCAACACTGGTGTGGACCAAATCAGTCCTGAACCCCCGGCCCCCTTAACACGCAGAGTACTCCTACAACACTGGTGTGGACCAAATCAGTCCTGAACCCCCGGCCCCCTTAACACGCAGAGTACTCCTACAATACTGATAGAGATGTGTCCCCAAATGTACATCCTTGCCTCTCCTCCAGAGTTGCCAGTAGAACCTCCTCGGCCTCCCGCTTGATGCGGTCCATGATAGGGGTCCAGCGCCCAGTCTGTGTGCCGGCATCCTCCTTCTGCATAGCCCGAGGCAGGAGGCCCAGAGGGAGGCTCGCGTCCTGCATCTCACACTTTCCCCTCTCCCAGTCTGGATCGACATCTTCCAGAAGCATCTCCTCGGGATCGTGGTATAGACAGCCTGGAGGAAAGGCAGCCATGTGGGGGATCAATGCTGCCAATCTGACTCCATAATCAGCATTCAGCACGGGGGTGACAGTCACACCACGAACATGGCCAGCGGTCAGGTTTCGCTCATTTGGGATTGGAACGCTCCATCGTAATGATCATCAGTATGAACTATAAATAACAGCTAAGTAAAAACAGTAATCGTGATTAAGTCACACAAAGCATTAGCAGTAATAACCAATGTTCACATGTAGCATCTACCTTAAATGTTGCCAAAATGATTTGATTAAACTTAAAACCACTGAATGGAGCTTACAGCTTTTTTAATGGTTTATACTTAAGATCTCTGCTTTAATCATTATGTAGATTTACCATTATCTGTGGAAACCTTAAAGAAATTCTGGCTCAGCATAACCAGTGTTGGTGTGTGTCTTGCCTGACTAACTGCTCTCTTCAGTGTTGAGCCTGAACCATGTCCTGTTCCTTTATGGTAACACTTTGCTGGACAAGGAATGCTAACCATGACATGCCCTGAACACTGTAAAATGCCAGCCCCCCCCCCCCCCCGTACACAACACACTATACTCTGTACTCTGGCTCATGTCTTTATTTTATACCACAAAGCATTTTCAACAAGAATGCTGCCTTAGGCATGTGGTAGCTTTTTGCAGAGAAAGGAAAAAAAAACATCAAAATATCTGAAGAAACAATGATTTGCAGTTATGGCGGTATGTAGTTTCAGGCTCTGGTCGTGTTTACGCAGGGGGTGAACAGTTACAGCTACAAAACCATTCAGCTGCATTCTGGGAGCTCAATCACAGTGATGAGAGATGTAGACTTTGAAACACGTGGCGAGGGGGGATTTCTATGCCCAGTCAATCGGTGCCTGGTTTGACCTAACAAGTGAATGCAGTGATCAAACAAGGGCGGTGATGTACCCGTGCATCACCACAATACTCAAAGGCGAAACATACATATTCCATACTGTGTACACTGCAGTTAAAAGCACCAAGGTGTGATGCAGCTATAAGCACCAGATTTCCAATTTGTCATTTGTGCTCTCATGCTAAAGGTATTAAACAATTACACAACAGTCTTTAACTAGGGACAAAACAAGGACAACTGGTATTTCAGGTCATATTCCATGACAATTTAATTGGACTTTACTGTGCAATATAAATATTTCCCTTGTAATGCATAATAGCTGTGTGAAAGCTGCTGTTCTGTTTCTCTACTAAGCGGTTATGTCTGTTTTTGAGTCAGTTATACTTTCTTCATATTTCACTTTATGTTTACCAGTCTGTCCGTGTGCCTGTCAGCCTGTCAGTGTGCCTGTCAGCCTGTCTGTGTGCCTGTCAGCCTGTCTGTGTGCCTGTCAGTTTCTCTGTGTGCCTGTCAGTTTCTCTGTGTGCCTATCAGTCTGTCTGTATGGCAGAATTTCTTCATTCTCTCTTTATGTTTGAGAGGCTGTCAGCACCTTCCCCCCTGAAACGGAAGGAGAAGATGAGCTAAGTTAGTCTAAATCTCACATTACAGCCTCACAGGGACACCATGCCCCCCTCTGTTCTCTGACATAGGAGATCTCTGCCTAGGGATTTCCTGCAAGTGTGAGGGTCTGATTGTTTTGGCCAAAGTGTTACAAAACAGATATGGTTCAGGTTTGGTGTTTTCTCAAAAATGTCAGCCTGTATTTCCTGCTGGGTTGACTTTATGGAATTCTCTTGTCTGTATTATACATATATCTCTGACAGCCGACTAATGTGATTAAGTCTATTCTAAAAAAAACCAGTCACTTACCATTTTGTACAGCCTCAGTGTCACCCTATACAAAAAGACAGGGAAAGTTATTGAAGAATGACGGCAGTTGTATGAGTATGAGTACAGGTTCATATGCACTCTGTAATTTGCACAGATTCATCTTGCTCTCCTGTGAGACACACAGTTACTGATGAGAGCAAATATTGATGCCAGAGAACAGGGTCAGATATTTACATATTTAAGTCATACTTCTACATCTTTATATATGTGGTTGGGGGGGGGGGGGTGGTCCAATAAATAAATAAACGATACTGTTACCACCTGACACAGTCAGTATTCCATCAGGTCTTCTGCTGAATGCATAGTAAATGTGTTTGTTTCCTTTCTACTATGGACTCACAAAGCCAAAGGTTCCTGAGCTCCAACTAAGCGGACGACAGAACTTCTAGCCCTGAATCTAGCAGGTGATGTCACTGCTATTCAGCCAATCAGAACTGAGGACAGCAGACCTCAGGATCCTTTTCACTCTGATTGCCTCGTGTTATAAGGTTCACGCACCCGACTCACTGCAGTGCTGTCTTGCTGTCTCATGGCAGGCTGTGGCATCCTGCGGCTCAGCTCCTGAAAAATCCAGCTCAGCATACTATGAGGAGGGCATACAGACACGTTCTGTTAATGCCCCTGAAGAATAAAGGCACAATCCTATTCTAGCACCACAATGTTCTCATTCCATCTAGAAAGCTTCCAAACTCTACATTATTTCTCCAGCTGCTGGCTGAATTAATCTACTAAAAATGGCTTTTATTTAAAATCAACATTAGGTCAGTTTTATTTCCTCATAATAAAGATACTCATGCACCCCAAATCCTGTAAAACAAGCAGACCCATTGTGCATTTCTTCTTAAAACAAAAATGTACTGTTTTCTCTATATCAAATGATGTGCTTGTCTTTCTATATAAACAAGTAATATAAGAATCTTCACCGTTGCACCACTTGTACAGCAGCTACAAAATGCATAAATACAGAAACACAAGCATAGACATGGAAATGCATAATATGCAAAGAAGCATGAGACCAGAAATACTTACAGAGATATATGTATAATACAAAATGATAACTGGGCAACATATCAAAGAAGTGCAAATTGCAGAATGACTTATGGCTGGGTCCATGGACCCTATTGCACATTGGTGTTAGAGAGCTTCACATCCATTTTCTATATATATAGCTCGGTACATGAGTATTAGGAGTATATGAGGCAGTTTTAGCAATTCAGTACTGCAGCACTATCAGCTTGATGGTGTTTAACCCTCTGTGTGCTGGGCACATTGGCCAGGCTGGCAGAGAACTGCAGGCATCGAGGTTCATACCAACACGCTCTCAGGTCACATGACTCTCACATACTTAGGCAACTCCATGCTGTCCCAGCAAAGCTGAGCATGACGGACAAGGTTTTTCTCAGTTGCTAAGGTACGTGTACATTTCTCGAATCATCCTTAACATTTGCAAAACAGTAAGTGCATTTCTTGAAACAATTCATACAAACAGCACCACATGATGGATCACCTGCAACAGCCTGTAACTTTCTCAAAATCCCTAGTTCATCCCTCAGAAGTGAATATTTATGTCAAAGAACTTGTCAGTGCCACCAGAATGACAAGGCCTTGTGTCATTGTTCACGAACATGAAGGTCATAATGTAAACCATGGCTAAGGTTTTGATGACAATGATTGAAAATGCACAAGGTTGTATTTTTTCTGTTTGACGTATCAATGCTGCGATAGGAAGCAATGCAGAATATATACAGTATTACATATACAGTACAAAGTTACACATGCTGTACATATACTGTAACACAAAAACACATATGTATACACATGTAGACACTGTAAATATGCATACATATGTGGGTGTGATACAGAACATGTCCAGTATGTACTGTAACTGTATAAAGTAAATTTACTGTATACCATAAAATGCACGTGGAGTGCTGCAATAGGAAGCCTCTTCCTCTGTCTTCCCTCCCTGCCCTTCCACCATGCAGCCTTACTCCTCTTCTTCTTACCGGCTGTTGACCCTGTTAATTTCCTTGTTGTTCTTCCATTGCCAAATTGTAGCATTGTGTTGTGCTCTGTCAATATATGCTTGGCAACTGAAGGCTCATGAGATGCACCTCTGGGCAATTTTAGAGAACTAGCTGATCACTGGTCGATCTAATGCTTTAAACATTCCCCTGTTGGTGAAAGTCAAGATTCAACACACATTTATATAGAAATAGACTGTAATAGAGATGTATAGAGAATATGCTTGACCGATTATGATAACTTGTTCATTCATTTTGCATGTCATGACTTATTCAACAAACTAACGCCTAGATGTTTCGGGGGGTAAGACTATTCAAGTGGCGGAACCAGTATAATACATTTTGACTAACATGACATAAACAATTGAAAATATAAGAATCAGCAAATGATTGTATATAATCATTTGCATGACTGTGCCAAAGCATTTGCAATTTGACCAAAACATTTATGATGTGCACAAGTGACTCGATGATGTGGAGGTTGTACAAGTAGATATGAGAATTTTATTTCTGATCTGAGAAATGTACCATATGTACAACTGTAATGTGACATTATGTCAGGGTCTACACCCGGCTGACCCAGCCTCTCGTGTCTCCTCTCCGTTTGGCCAGCAGGTGTCGCTGGCCATCCTCTCAGGTCTATAAGATTCTAATGGGTCTGGATGCTGTTCAGCCAAATGACTATTTCAATATTAGTCTGAATACTAGAACTCGTGGCCATAAGTGGAATTTAGCGGGAGAACATTTTAAAACAAATTTGAGGAAGCACTTCTTTACACAGCGTGTAGTTAGAGTATGGAATAGTCTTCCTGCTAGTGTAGTGGAAGCTAAAACCATGGGTTCCTTTAAATCAGAGCTAGATAAGATTTTAACAACTCTGAGCTATTAGTTAAGTTCTCCCCAAACGAGCTTGATGGGCCGAATGGCCTCCTCTCGTTTGTAAATTTCTTATGTTCTTATGTTCTTATGTTCCTCCCCGTTGTCCAAATCCTTAGTGTGTTTCCCCAGCTTGTTAGACTGCCGCATGGGCTCCATGGTGTATACCTCTAAACCCCTCAGTCTGGTGTTTGAGTCCACCCACTTCTGTCTTTGTATTTTGTAGATTTTGTTCTCTAGTGTTTAATTTGTATCAGTTTTTCTGCTTCCTGAGTTTTGTGGTTTGCGTTTTGTTTCGGCTTTTGCTCGGTGTGTTACTTGTCTTTGGTATATTCTGTTTATTGGTTTCCCTGTTAGTTTCTGAGTTGCTTGGTTTAATTATTATTTTCACCTGTTGCCTGTTTTCTCGTGCCAGTCCTTGTGTTCTACCTGGTTGCTCGTTGTCCTGCATCCTCCCTGATTGGTTAATTGTTTCATGTCTCACTCCTTCTGCGTTGTTACCCGGTTCGGTTTGTGTATTTATGTTCCTGCCTTAGGTCAGTTCCTGAGTTGGTCATTGTGTCAGAAGGTTAGCAGTTACTCTGTTGGTTTAGAAGTTCTGCTACTTAATTTATTATGGATATTATATGACCTGATAGATATCTAAAGGATGGAACGATGCCTATGGTATTTGCAGGAACAGTACATTTTGAGTGACCATTCACCCATACCACAAATATGTAGTTGTCTTAAGAACATGAACTATTAAATGGCGCCCTCTTCCGGGAAGTCAAATTATTGCACCATTTAATAAAATTTGAGACCTCAATTTTGATGAAGATGGATAGACTAATAGGTCAAAATGGGATAATTTTTTAAAATTCCCTCTTTGCTTTCTTACTTTGGTAATGGGGGTTCTTCTGTCACACGTTTTGATGGTTCTTCTGGTGGTGAGACCACTGAGAGGAGAGATACAAACACACTGAAAGTACCAGACACACATATTGCCCATAAACGTATGATGAGATAAGGATCTTGACAAAGCATGACTCCAAAGCCTGTGGTGATCAGAAGTTCCATGCGCGTGGTCAATCACAGCTTGCTAAACTCCTTAGGAAACCGATGAAGTTGGTGATTTATACATGTTAGATGACTGAGAGTGCATGATAAAGCTCACCCACCTTTCATCACTTCAGGGGCTGGAGCTGGTGCTAGAGGTGGTGTGGTGGATGAAGATGGAGTTGGAGCCGGAGAAGATGCAGGGGTGTCCCTTTCCAAAGAGGTCTCTGTGTTGACAGGAGCGTGGACCTCTGGGGGCTGGGGGATCACCTTCTCAAAGCTGTGCTTCAACCAGCCAAGGACTCTGCATTCAAATGCGGGCAGACAGAGAGGAATCACACCAGTTTTAAAATGTTGGGTTCACTGACAAAAAGAAAGCAAACCTGACTCAATGCATAATGAGTGGACTGCAGAACACGGGGGGGGGGGGATTGGGCATAATAGGGAGTGAGGGGCATGAGGTCATCTCAGATATAACCTTCTGTCTTTTCGTTTAACTTCAAAATTGTCTAAGGCTGCTCAAATCACAATGCACTCTATTGCATTGCAGTGCATGTTGAGATTTGGCTAACGTGATTAATTGTCAATGAAGTAACAGTAAATGTACATTCTGAAAATATAGCTGATTGGTAGATTTCCGATTGCAACACTCAGTGAGTAACCAATATTGTTTGCCTCACCTAAAAATCACATTTTGGTTAATAAAAAAAAGCACAGATATAATTCAGGCTTTTATCGGTTTGCATACAATTATTTGCTGATAATGTGCTTCTTGATTGTCCATGTTTTTTAATGAACCTCCAAAAGTTACCCAGGTGTAATGTACTAGTAAAACAGAAGCAATCGGAAATCGGGGGAAAGTCCAGGTCCAGACAAATCTAGACCAAGGTTTTGTTTCAACCAACCAGTTGAGTATAAAGAGTTACAGTCACAGAGTACTCAACTGGTTTATAGAGTATTCAACTAGCTGTTTCAAACAAAATCTTGGTCTGTATTTGTACTTTCTTGACCTGAACTTTCCACCTCTGGTGCAGGGATGGTGGCAGATCAGGGAGGATCACACCTGGGAGAGAGAGGTTGCTTGTTGTTGTCCACTTCTGAAGGCTCTCTGTCAGACATGACCTCCACCACTGATATTTGCTGGACCAGCTCTGCATCTGGGCACGGAGTTAGCCTTAGTAATCTCACCACCAAGAGAATAACACTTCTAACCACTCACATACAGAAACATCACTGTGCCGTGCACCTGTCAACAGTGCATTGCCAATAAAATTAACCGTAAAGACTGATGTCTGTCAGGTGGTTTTACTTACTTGGGATATCATTTGCATTGCATATCTGAGAAAAAATAAAGATTCATGTTTGTTATCATAATTGACATCATTCACGTGATTTTATGACTGCTCATCTAGTAAAGCTTCTCTTAAACTCAAGCCAGGAAGGAAGCTTGAGAAGGATGGAAGTAGATGAGCAAAGCTTGGTCAGAATGGGAGGCAAACTCACATACATAAGGACATTTTTAGTCTTCACTCAACCTCAAAGAGTGTGTTAGATCATTAAGAGGGATTCAGTTTGAACTTGCGGAGAACATGCAGATTCAACTCCCGAGATGCATGGACTTGTAACCTGTTAAGCCATCATAGACTCATGACGTATCTAATGCACACCTTAAAGGGATTTGTACTCTAATACTGTTTTATATAAAACATATAAATAAACATGGTATCCATTATCTGTCACACTGCGTGCTGGATTCACCAGCTAGCTCCAATGACAGACTGTTCATTTTGGATTTGCAGGCCCCGCCTATGAGTAATTTGGGGGCAGTGCAGGAACACCCAGATTGGAGGGTTTTAAAAACAATTCCAACCGCTTTGAGGGATGTGGGATAAAGAATGACTGTGATAGAGCCAAGTAATTTGTATAGCATCCGCTGGAGAGCTTGGCTGTGGGCAATTTTTGAGATGGGAGGGTATCACTCGCAAGCGGTTAGGGCTGCTGACAATGAAGAGAGGTGATGAGGATGCAGCTGATTTCGTTTAAGGGGGAAGGATTGATTGCCTCCTGTGGGACGGTAGGATCAGGTTAAGTTTGCTTATTTGCTTATAGTTTCCTCATCCCAGCCCAGTTTATGCATAAAACAATCCTCAGGGGAGGATCTTGTTCCTCTTGCTTGATAAGAATTTTACTATTCAGATGCATGAATAGTGGGAGGAGCTTCTGCTGGTTCGGCAGGATTGTAGTGTCTCCTCCCAGCTTGGCTGCTTTACCCCGTTTCATCAGCAGTAGTTTATGCAGGCTATAGGCTATAGGGCAGTTGTGGGGAAGTGGAGAAGAGTGCTATTGTTATGCGTAGCATTGCCGTAGTTTACCGGTGATCCTCCCTGGAATAGCCAGAAGTCATTACCTCTTGTTTTATGAATGAAGTAAAGTTCAGAAGGTTTAATATCCGTATAATAGGGAACATCTCACCCAAAGTTTGCCATTATTAGCAGTATCGTACAGCGAGAAGTTTCCTCACCTCTGTGACATTTTTCTGGCTCTCTGGCTTTATTTCTGTAGATTTTTCTGGTTCATTTACTCTTTCATCCAGCCTGTAGGATGGAACCGGACAATCAAAGAAAGCGTCAATGTTTAAGACTCGGTGCAGATGCTAGTGGACACTAGAGGGCAGCGCATACAAAGATGGGAGGAACAATTCGCATAACTGAGCTTGCGGCCAAGCAGGAAGATCGTGCTATGAACTGCATGCGTCCTAGAGAAACAGGCTGTAGTGACCTTGGCAGTATAGTAATGATTAACAGCGTATAAGTACACAGGAACTCCTGTAACGGTTTGCAATGGTAGCATAACATGTGTTATCAACTGCTTTTGGGGTCTCCAATGTGCATTATGTATAAATACACAGAGCAGCTATAATATTCAGGTTGTGTTGATGCTAATGGCCTAAGCTGGTTTACCTCTTGTAAAGTAGAACTTGGAGAAGTTTCTCAAAGCATTGTTTTGTCTACTTACTCTTTCGCAGATTTACTGCTGCCATGACAGGGACAGAAAACACACAACAGTCCAGTTATATAAAGTACCTCTGAATGTTCACCCACACATCAAAGCTCTCATCCAGGAAGTTGGAGATCTTAATGTTTGCCTTGCTTATCGCTTAAAATTGAATATGTAGTTTAAAAACCACTTAACGACTGTCTTACTGTTGACTGTCACATTGCACTAGGTGCCGAGGCAAAGTGTGATGTTGAGGACACAGTAGATGTAGCTTGTCGTATGTACTGACCTGGTCTCCGCTGCCATCTGTTGGAATGACAGAGGGTTTGAAACAGAAGACAAGCTAAGTGTGAAATTATAGAATCAGTGAAGATAGATAAATGACAGTGAAACACCCACATGTCACGGACGGGTGTTTGAGAGAGGAGAGGAGAGCTTTGCTGGTTGTGCCTCTGACTTCTGGCTGCATGTGTGTCTCATGGCTGGTTCCAGTCAGAAAGTGAAGCTGGCATTAAGTCAGACCTGCTGGCAGAGCCTCACTGTCTGCCTGGTCAGTCCTTGGTGACAGTTCTGGTCAATGAGCCCATTGTGTCACCCACAGCCACCACACTCCACCATACGTACATCCAGCCACCACACTCCACCATACGTACATCCAGCCACCACACTCCACCATACGTACATCCAGCCACCACACTCCACCATACGTACATCCATGTGGCTGTTCATGGTATTTATTAAGCTTATTGTCCTGATTTCCCCGCTGTTCAGCATTACAATTATACTTCCTGTTTGCACCACTTGCACTCCTTCGTTGCTGCTGTTGTGAACTTGCACACAAGTTTTTTACTCACCTGCACTGGTCAAGTGTCAAGTAAGGTGGCAAATAAAGTGATTTTATGTTGATTTGTTTAATGCAGTGTTTGTTAAACCGCTTCGCAGGGACCCCCAGACCCACGTTTTTGCCCCCTCCCAGCTCCTGGGAGCAGGAATGTAGACTGGGGGGGGGGGAGCAAATAAGTGGACCATCTGGAGGCCGGTCTGACAAACGGCGGCTTAGTGCATCGTCTAGGCTGATATCACAGGAATGATCTGTTGCTGCGGTTCCGGTTCCCACCTTGGCATGTGGGGGGGATGCAGGGGGTTGCGGCAATGCATTAGTGATCCCACTGGAAAGCCAGGTCAGCACCCCCCCCTGGGTGCTGTGGGTAGACAGAGAGGTTTAAATGGTTAAAAAAACCCAAACATTCCTTCCCTGTTCAGTGCCGTGACTGTTACCAGACTATTACCATGCCTGCTCAATCCTTCACAAACTGAAGCTGCTGATCCCCCTAATACCTGTCTCATGTAGCCCCCCCCCCCCCCCCAGCTCAGCGAAAGGGTCAGTAGAATAAAGAGAGCTGCTAAAACCACCTCCGTATGGCCTTATACCATTATATCTCTCCTGTTACTTGCACTCTTTTTAAATCACGTGCACAAGTAGAGCACACTGTGCACATGGTTCCAGACAAACAAATCCCCGTACAGCACATCCCCATATGCAGTCACATTCTTACGTGTTTACTTCTGTCGATTCATCTTTTGGTTTTTGTGCAGACGTTGCCTCTGGTGAAAGATGAGGGAAAAAAAACAATACTTTTAAGACTGACAATGATAAAGTGAACATTTTAATAACCAGTAACAATAGTATTTTTTTAAAACATGGATCTACTTGCATATACTTGCAAATCGCATGTACTCTATTACTATTATAATACTCTATTGTAATCTATTACGATTGATTCTGGCAGGTATGTGGTGAAAATCTCTTATAAAGGCGGAACAGAGGTACAGGAGTATGTGGTTTAATTAAGCATTTTTTTTGGCTGACAAAGTATAAAAACAAAAAAAAATGGGACATGGCCCCTTTAAGAAACCTGCATCAATTCCCTAAAACCCCCAAAATGCAATTTAACGCATCAGCCTGAAGCTGTTACACCACATCCATGCTACTCCAGGTTTGCTGTAACCCCTGTCCTGCATTCACCCAACTGACCCTGTAAAAACCCAATTTGGCAGTCAGTCCAATCTGGGCCAGAGGGTATTACCTGTTAGCACGGAGCTCCTGATCACCAAGGCAATCACTATGCCACCTTCTGCTAACACACAATATAAATTCAAATGTTCATGTACATAAAGAACTGTATTTATGATAAAGCCATTATACTGTATTAAGCGCTGTAATTCTGGCTGTCAAAACTATTCAGTCAACCAATAGCAGTAATTTGCCCTGGGTCCAGTTGTACTGTCAGTAAGAACACATGTAAA